GGGTTTCATAAGAGAAGAATAAATATTAAAGGACCCTACCCTATGCTACTGTGTATCTTCCAATTTTTATTGTATTAAGGCCTCATTTGAGAGCAGACTTTTCTATAACTTTTCAACTAAAATATAACGTAAAAACAAACTAATATGTTTGAGATGTCTTTTTGATTTTTTATGAAAAGATGTGCAAAAAATAGAAAGAAAATGAAATATTTGATTTTTTGGTATAAGTTGTTGGTTTTTCGGTTTTTTAAATAATTTTATGACTTTTAAGCTAAAAAGTGATATTGCTAAACGAGGCCTAAGTGAAACCACATGTAACTAAAGTAACTTGCATATTGTAAATCTAATGTCCTACTAAAGGGAACATGACCTTCAAAAACAGTTTCTGTTGACCTCTTAGATGAGGCTAAAAGGTACACTCCACACCTAATTAAGTGATAATGAAGTTCTCCGGCAAGTATAGAAACTGGTTCAAACCCTACTCGGTTCGTATGTAAAGGAGGTTTCAGGTTTTGTTAGTAATGAGATATCAAGCAAAACCCAGAAGATTTTGAGTTCGGTTTGAAGAACAAACAGAACGCAGAAACTTGTGTTCAAGTGTTACACAAGAGATACCTGATCAAACCCTACTCAGTTCATACGTAAAATAAAAGAGATTTATGGTTTCATCAGTGTTAAGATATCAAGCAAAGCCCAGAAGGTTACGTGTTCAATTTGTAGAACAAACAAAATGCAGATTAAGCCATTTGGCATTCCAAGCTCATATGCAAGGATTTCCTGCACATGTTGTCAACCTCATTTTGTGTGAGAGAGACTATTGTCAAACTGAGAGACTATAGAGGAAAAATGGAAGCCAAAAGATAACCTTCAAGTGGAATACGTGCAACAAAAGCTGATGCCAAACAAATATACAAAATTATCTAAAGCATATATATAAAAAGCAAAGTTCACACCAAACAAACTACAAGAATGCATTAAAAGGTCAATGCAGTTAAACAACTCTTGCTCATACTTATGCTTCTAGGCAAACAAATTCCGTTGACACCTAATAATAGAGTAACAAGTTAAAGATGTTTACTTTATCACATTCAAGTTAGCAATCTTAATACAACCTGCACAGAACCAAAAATCCATGTGATGGGGATGAGAAAGGGGTTGGATAAAGAAATAAGTGAAAATTTTGTAATTTTTATTTATTTACGAGTATTAATTTAATTTAGAATTTTAATAGGATTTTAATTCTAATAGTAGATTTCAATTCCTTGGTTACCTATTCTTGGGTTTCTTAATTAGGTATGTGCTTATGCCTATTTATGGCTTCTTGTAATAGTTTTAATACCTTGACTTTGATGATTATCGGTAACTGATTATTGAGATCACTATTGAGAGTTGTTTTGGGACTGATCCCCGATGTCTTCATCTATTCTTCTTCTTGTTGGGGCTACATCACCATGTTTATGGAAATGATTACTGGTCCTACATCACATAAAGGTAACCAGACTGATATTTTCCCGAATGAACATTGCAGGGAGGCCAATTTCCACACACAGCATTTTTTAGAGAACAAAAAGCATCCTAATGCAGCACACTTTCAACTTTGCCCCACAATAGCCAAGATCTATGTTTCCTATATTAATCCCTATGTCTTGCAACAGAAAACCGGTTACTCGATTTCTCATATCTTACCAAACTTTAATTGTAGTCCAAATACTGACTGAATTTCAGTCTTCCATTTCAATTCTTATTGCAATTCTTGCAGCATAATCATCAAAAGAAATATCTTTTATATACGGGCACCACACTTGGTGCCTTGTTTATGATATTTTTACTTATCAAAAGACTAATAATCATCAAAAGAAAAACCCAAGTTGAGTATCCCAGGATTGCCTCACATTATTGAGTTCGTAGCGGAAGACATGAACTATCTATCACAGCACTCCTCAATATGTCCCTAATCTAGGCTAGCTGTTGGTACTTAGAAGGCAACTTAGCAACCCTGCTATCCACTAGAGCCTATGAAGTACAGACACCTCTAAGAAAGTACTGCATTGTGTCCGACACTGTGACAACCACCCTGTACCCCCCACTACCATGACTCTCCCCCACTTCAACCTAAACTCTCTAAGAGAAAGAAAAGGGATAGATCTAGGGTTTTCAAATTTTGGGAAGAAGAAGATAGATTTAGGGTTTTCAAATAAGCAATGGGTGGCAGAGGAGAGGTTGGGCATGGGGAGGACTAGGATTATCGGTAAAACTGTGCAAAATACCACCCAATCTGCTATAATCGAACCGATCCGCATCAATCCGCACCGCTCTTTCCGCTAACCGCGGTTTAAACTTTAAAATTTATAATCTGCCTTTGAAACCGCTCCGCTCCGCTATAATTAATATATATATATATATATTTTAACCTATAACAAAATATCAAAGTAAAAATGAGTGTAAAAGATATTTAATATATGAAATTTATTACAAATTAATTGTTATATATATGAAAAATATTATGTCAAATTAGTTTGTGTTATATATATATGGAAAATATTATGCAAATTAGTGTGTTATATATTATCCAAAGACTTGATAATTGGTAAGAATATTTTTCAATCCGCCAATCCTTCCAAAATCGCTCAAACCGCAATTTATCAATCCGCTAATCCGTCATTCGGTTTATAATTTTACTCCCAAACCGCTCGAACCGCACCGCGCATAAGGGGAGGGGTTGTGGTTGAAGCAGCAGAGTGGGAGAGGACCAAAGGGGAGAGCAATGGAGGGCAGCTGCGACTAGGGGAGCCGGTGGCTACTAGGGAAGGTGCCAGCAGTGATGGGGGGTGCAAAGAAAATTAATTTTTGAATTTTAATACTTTTTGGTAATTTTAGACGGGGATAAAATTGTAACAAAAAATTAAAAAATAAGGGATATACGGAGATATTTTTGTTGTGTAAATATAACCTCCCCTTGATAATATCATGTTTAGTTAAATAATAATATTGCTGACAGATTTTGAGGCATGTGTATGTACAAGAAAGCACCTTTCCACTTGTGGCTGCCCTACTACTGGGATAAAAGATATTTTCTATGCCAGCCTAGAAGGATTCCATACTACCAACAGGATGCTAGAAATCGTGGAATATGATTATATATTTCTAAGAATATATGACCAGATCAATTGACCTCCTCCACAAAGTCAAAAAGAAAAACGCAAAAGGAGCCATAAAACAAGGGTACTCGTTACCAATCTTTAGGGATGACCATTTTTCTCTCTCTCCGCCCGCCCTGCCCTGCCCCATAGGGATTTTTTCCACTCCGATGGGGAAGTGGGGCAGGGAAAGGTTTTGCTTATCCCACCCCGTTCTAACCAACACCCTCCCAATTCCATTTATTAAATATGTTCATATATATATATATAATACATATATATTTTTTCAATATAATAAACTTCTAACATTAAAATATTATATACTAAACATTAATTTTACTTATTTATTTTTCATCTTATATTTTATAATTCTCATTTAAGTATAAATCATTATCCACAATATACTATATTATTTATAATTTTTATTAATATTCTCATTCAACTTACAAAATTAATCCGCCACCCGCCCCACCCCCTATATGATACGGGATGGGGGCGGATTACTACGAACCCACAGTAAATCCGACCCGTGACCATCTCATCTTGACATTCTCCTCCAGTGCCATCTCCTTGAAACGTAGTTTGGTACTACAAACGTTTATAAACCTCAGAAGTTGATTAGTAATAATGTTCAAGGTAAATAAATAAAGGAACCAAAAAAAAAAAAAAAAAGAGGAAAGCAAACGTGTAAATTTACTATTAGAATACAATTTACAAATGTAGTTCAAGTACATATTGAAATTCCCTGGAGGTTTGACTTGTTTCAAAGCAACAAATAATGCACGCACATAAAGCAAATTTGCAGTGATGTATTATAGTACTAAATACATTAATAGAAATCAAAAAACCATGTACTGTCGATATATATTCATGATTCACAGTAACATTCTGATAACCATGCAACAGCTTCCATATACTTTTTCAACATCAACATTACAAACTGTGAGTCTACTTTTGAAGTTGATCTTACTCCAAAGAATTTGGTTCAAATAACAAATTAGGTAGGGTTCACATAACAAGTTAGAATAATTTAGCTTAATAAAGTAAAAGAGAATCAATGCCCACCTAAAGCTCACAAATAGATGTTGAAATGACATAGATACTCTAGATATCATATTCCCCACAAGACTAATCGGTCCTGTGCAGAATCACCAATCAATTCAACAAAAGTGGCAACCATCTAAATAATATATGCACTAAAGGATGAAATATGTTATTCACATATCCTAAAGCTAATGAAAAATAATTAATGAAAGACTCATTTCCAATTAAGTCAACTGCATTCATTGGGACACTCCACATCATTTCTGATTTACTAGCCCATTCAGTTATTAATAATGGGCCAGTTTGCTGTTCAAAAAAAGGGCTAATTTGCTTCTAGAAGAAGCATCACTCCACATCATTATGGCTTGAGAATTAAATGAAAGTTTAAACATCCTAGTTTTGCTGAAAATTTTGAAAAATAGGATGTAAACCACAATGTCATGATCTATGAGATAGTGATGTACTTCAGAACAACGTAAAAAAGTACACCCAGTTTAGTCTCCATTGGATAGGGGTCTGGGCAGGGTATATTAGGTACGGAACTAACATTTGGCATTATTTGCACAAAGTTAAGGTTGAGTTCGAACCCACAACCTCTCAAGGTTGAGGGCATTTTAACCACTGAACCAATGGCCCCCTTCTAAAAGTGAAAATTAAAATTCTGTGTGGTTCTCCACTCATTTAACATGTCCAGACTCTCTCTAAACGATTTTTTTTTTTTTTTGTGTGGTGTGTGTGCACTCTCACTGCAAGTGCTTTTTAGAATATATAGAGAAGTTTATGAGAGCTAACCATTGCATTGTCAGTTTGCCAATGTCATGCAATTTCAATACACTAAAAATCAACTTAAAACAAGAATGTATAATACAATGGAAAGCTTGCCAATTTTTTTTTGTCCAAATGTTCCCCAGTGTTGCTTTCATTTGCTCTTGCTGTATATACTTCCATTGTGTCTATACAAACATTTTGCAAAAGCAGGGACTTTGACCAAGCTCTATTCACTTGCACTGAAATTAATGCTCTACTTTAGCACAAAGCTCTCATATCAGCTTTTGAATGTTAGCAGACAACTACGAAAGCAATTATTTCCTGGGGCCCCCAAGTTCAAAAGCAAGCAAAAGCAAACTCATCAAAATCCAAGGCACTAACTATAGTTGTTGATTAAGCTGGCCTCACCACTTCAAAAGCAAGCAATGGTTTACACGCACACCCACCCAAACCCACGTCATTATCATTATGCCTTGGATTCCTAAAATTCAATCACTTCCAGGGCAAAGGAAGTTTGTGCCTGAATCATAACACTTAGAAATTATCATTTTGGAATCTGTCAAGTATACCAACTATGCAAACAAACAAAGAGTATAAGAACATCTGAATTCATGAAACATATATACTTTTTTTTTTCTTCTTGTTTCTTTTCAATAATTTTAGTAAATGATAATTAGATGAAAAGAGCTACAACAGTTCACTCTAATGTTAATAATAAAATAAAATAAAAAACAAACAAACAAACAAAAAAGTCAGATATCTGATAAACTCACCGGGCCTTTTTCCGGGACTTGAAAGGGAAATTGGATGGTGGTGATGGGGAAAATTCAAACGGCAAGTGAGGCGGCTCTGCCTCGCCAGAAAGCATCCCGACAATCTCTTTCATGGTGGGACGCTTACTGGGCAATCTCTGCAAACAGAGTAGTGCAATTGTGATACAGAGCAGTGCCTGTTCGCGATCTAACAACTGAATACAAGGATCAACAAGATCCAAAAGCTTCCCATTACGAGCAAGTTGACGAGCCCACGAAATAAGATTCGCCCTCTCGAATTCTGACATTGGCGAGGCCGTCACTTGCAGTGGCCTTCGACCCGAAACTAGAACAAGTAACAGAACACCATAACTGTAAACATCACACCTCTCAGAGAGCTGCCCACCACCACCATACTCAGGAGCAATGTAACAAACAGTTCCTCTCATACTGGGAGTACTACTAACACCACCACTCTTAGGTATATCTCCACTAGGCCAATCTTGACTGTTTTTTCGACCACTTCGAAACTCTCCACTGAACCCATCTATCCACCAATCAATGCTACCCATACTACCTCTGCTCTTCCTCTTCTTTCTCTCAGGTGCCACAAACTCATCTCTCTGCCACCACAATTCACCACCACCACCACTATTTTTTAGCCCTCTTTTCTTCTTAATCTTCTTCTTTTTTGTCAATTCTTCGCAAAACTCCTCTCTCCACCATTCCCTTGGCTTCCTATTCTTCTTCTGTTTCTGAATTCTCTCCTCATCCAATGAAGCCCACCATTCTAATTTCTTCCTATGCTTCTTTTGTTCTGTTTTTACACTACCCTTCATTGTTCCACCACCGCCATCCTCTACCGAGCTCGGCGTGGCAACCCATTCGCCATTGGGTCTCTCTTTCTTTATCTCACTCCCAATCCACTCCATCACATAGTCCTTCACTCTCCCCGATTCTGACCCGATACCGCCACTATTGTCCTGTTTCCACCACCAATCTCTCCCTGACCCACTGCTCCTCTTCCTCCCAATCCCTCTCCTATTGCCACTATCAACACTAGCCCTGTCAAAACAACACTCTGATACACTCGTCTTGTCCAAACCCTCCGATGGCGACAAACCCGCCTCGGTATCTGAAACCCTAACACAACCCTCCGGAGACAAATCCACATTCACAGCAACCTCCTCTGTCATCACACTCTCTGTTTCTTCGAGTATCGACCCATTATCATCCCCATTCACTCTTTTACCTCCATCTTCACCACATTCCAAGAAAGTTTCAGCAATTTCATCCTCAGTGAGCACTCGAGCTAACCCAAAATCAGCAATCTTGGCATTGAAATACGCATCGAGAAGTACATTCGATGGCTTGATATCACCGTGAACTATCGGAGGATTACACGAACAGTGAAGATACTGAATCCCTTTCGCAATGTTAATCGCAATTGAAAATCTCTTCTTCCAATCCATCAACTCAGGACACTTCCGATCCAACAACGCATCTTGAAGACTCCCATTCTGCATAAACTCATAAACCAGCGCCAGTCGCCGCCGTCTACGGCGGCGCTGATCGGAGGAGAACCCGATGATCGCCACCACATGGTCACAGCACACAGGGTCGATCTTAGAGGCAAGAGAGAGCTCATTGTTGAACTCTCTCTCACCCTGAAGAGACCCAGAAGGGTCCATGAGCTTCACAGCGATTTCCTGACCGGACTGTAGGATTCCTTTGTAAACCGACCCGAACCCACCTTGGCCGAGGCGGTTGGCGGCGGAGAAAGATGAGGTGGCGCGGCGGAGGAGGGGGTAGGAGAAGCGGTGAGGGGGCTTCAGATCTGCCGGAACTGTGCGTTTCCGGGAGAGTTTCCGGTAAAGAATGGCGAGGAAGAAGAGACAGGCTATGGTGAGGGCTCCGGCGAGGATGGGTGGGATGAAGTTGAAATGGGGATGTGGGTTGTGGGGGGGGAGGGAGGTGGGTGGTTCCGGCGGCGCCGGAAAATCTGGGAATGGTGGTGGTTGTGGGCGTGAAGGCATTGTTGGACAAAAATGGAGAAAACGAAGAGTGAATATATATGTATATATAATGTGTGTGTATGTATAGGTTAGAAATGGATTTGCAGAGAGAGAGAGAGAGAGAGAGAGAGAGAGAGTATAAGGTGGAAAGAGACTAGAGAGAGAGAGAACAGAGCTAAGCGAAGAAGACGACGAGAGGATACGCAAGCATAGAGTAGTGAACAACACAGACCCAGACTCTGGCCCCGGTTGTTTGGGTTTACAGGGAGGAGATTGGGTTTCGTAGCGAGGAGGGTATTGAGAATAAAGTGTTTGTTTTGAGAGATAGGGACAAGATAAGCAATTTTTTGGTATTAGTAAGAAGGAGGAAAAAGAATTGATAAAGAAGAGGTAGAGATGATATTAGAAAAATAGTGAGGAGATTAGAAATTTTTTTATTTTTTTTATATTAGAAATTTTTCTTAAACATAATGTTTAATTTTTTTATTTGTTTTATTATTTTATATAAAAATAATTTAATAATTTTTTACTATTAATCTCTTTACTATCAATTCCCTCACTATTAATTCTCTCACTATCAATTCATTTACTAATAATTTTCTCACTATTAATCTCTTCACTATAAATTCCCTCTATTTTATCTCTAAAAACAAGCAAGATCTCTATCTCTTTCTACCAGTTTTGCATTTGGGAGTAAAGTTAGAGTGACGAAGCTGTGAGTAGAAGTTGATATTTTAATAAGTTATTTTAATTTTTAATTATTTTAATAGGTTAAAATTTTAATGTTTAAAAAAATAATTAATTTTTTTATAGTTTGATGTAATATTTATAAAAAAAAATAAAATAATTATAAATTTAATATAATATTTTATTTTATTAATTATTATTTTTTTTTTTAATTTTAACCTAAAAAAAAGTTAAAATTTTTTTGACAAACACCTCCAGAGTTGACTAATGGATTGTTGCTTCGGAAACGGAAATAACTTTAGCTACTGTGCATTACCGACTCGTGGGCCTACTATGGTTTCGTATTTCGATAAATATGTTTTTGGGGAAATTATAAAATTAAATTTTTTAAAAAAATAATGAATTTAACTAATAAATTAAATTTTAATTTTTTAAGAAAGTCATTATTTTCACTTTATTTTATCTCAAATAAATTTTTTTTTTATTATACATAATTATGGAGATATATTTTCTGAGTACCAACACGTGACCAAGGTGCCACGCGTCCTGATTGTTATGCCGAGGTCATCTCGGATAGGCCGAGATTACCTCCGAAAATATCGGAATCCGAGATAAGCGGATGAGGGGTAAGAGTCCTAGGATGAGAGGAGACTTCAGTTTGTATTAAGATAAGACTCTTAGAGAGTTTATCCTAATCTTACTAGGAGTTCAAGATTAGCAATAATCCTGAGTCCATAAAAGTTAGGCTTCTATTGGGACTAGGTTTATGTTGGCTATAAAAGAGAGGCATCCCTATGGGTCAAGGGATGCTTTTGATACTCAAGCTTGTGAGTATAGCACTTGATTTATCTTTGAGAGATATACTGACTTGATCGTCGGAGTGCCTCCGGGTAGACGAATCACCGCCGGAATCTTCTCTTTCGATTGCGGGTCAGCCATGTGTCATCTATTCTGCCGGTGCTCTCCAACTGGTTACTAAGCGGGCAGTGTGGTCAGAAAAATCACTCACACAATTTGGCACCGTCTGTGGGAAAGAAAGAAGAATAGATGGCCAATGAAATAAAGAAGAATAGATGGCCAATGACGGACAAGAGGATCAGATTAGAGACAATGCTCCTGCTAGAAGTGGGAGACTTATCAACCTCGACGTTGAAGGGGACGACCGCAACACAGAAACTCGTGACCAGAGTCACGGAGTAAAAGACGCTAGCCAGAAAGGTGACGCACCAAAAACAACAGATCGAAGCGGATACTACAACGAAGATGACCTCCAGGTATGGAAGGATAGATACATGCGGAGGAACGAAGACCCTTCCAGAAGGGATGCAAAGACCGGGGGCATGAGCGCTCCCAAGGAGATAACATTCAAGTGTAGAAGAACTCATCCTAAGTGAGCAGATCCCGGATTCCAGATCCTGGATCCCGGATCCTAGAAGACATGATCTCGGCCTAGCTCAACCTGAGTGAGCAGATCCAAGATTCTAACAAACAAGATCTCGGCACTTAAGTCCGAGAAGAGAAGAGTTTAGTGAGCAGATCTCAGATCCCAGAAGATAAAAAAAGAAAACACACATGGTTGGACTGCAGTTAGTCAGGTTGAAGACCTTTTATAAGGTTCGTAAAGGAGTATATGGAAGCCATGCAGGGGCAGAGAGAAGAAGAATATGTTTACCACTTGTTGAAATTTGTCGCAATTTACAAGTTAGTTAAACCGATATAATGTTTACCACTTGTTGAAATTTGCCACAATTTACAAATTGGTTAAACCGATATGATGTTTATCACTTGTTGAAATTTGTAGCAATTTACAAGTTGGTTAAACCGATATGATGTTTACTACTTGTTAAAATTTGTAGCAATTTACAAGTTGGTTAAACCGAGATGATATTTAACACTTGGTGAAATTCTGTGTGAATTTACAAATTGAAGCTAAACCGAGATGATATTTAACACTTGTTGAAATTCTGTGTGAATTTACAAGTCGAAATTAAACCGATGTGATATTTAACACTTGTTGAAATTCTGTGTGAATTTACAAGTCGAAATTAAACCGATGTGATATTTAACACTTGCTGAAATTATGTGTGAATTTACAAGTTGAAGTTAAATCGATATGATGTTTAACACTTGTTGAAATTCTGTGTGAATTTACAAGTTGAAGTTAAACCGATGTCATATTTAACACTTGTTGAAATTCTGTGTGAATTTACAAGTCGAAATTAAACCGATGTGATATTTAACACTTGTTGAAATTCTGTGTGAATTTACAAGTCGAAATTAAACCGATGTGATATTTAACACTTGTTGAAATTCTGTGTGAATTTACAAGTCGAAATTAAACCGATGTGATATTTAACACTTGTTGAAATTCTGTGTGAATTTACAGGATGATGGTTAAAACACTTGTTGAAATTTTTGAGAAAAATTTACAAGTTAAAGTCAAGCTCAAGCAATATCTGCGTACTTGCCGAGACGACCAGGTTGTCAAAACTTGAAATATGGAAAGCTGAAGTCTTGATAGAAGACATTGAGAAAGTGACAAGTCCTAAGCAACATTTGTGAAAATATTTGTTACAATATTTTCAAGTTTTAGGACAAGACCGAGATGAGCAAGATTAGAAGTTGTAACAGAGGTATTTTACTCGAAGAGATTGCACAGTCAAGGTATACTTTGAAGACATGCAAATTATTCAAAGTGTAGAATCATACAAGAGCAGAAAAAAGAAGACATTCATTTAAAGAAGAAATTAGAGAAATGCATTTAAAAAAGAAAGAAGGCACTTCAGCCTGAATAATGAAAAATAAATTATTCAAACTACAAAAATGGCACGTCAGCCGGATTAAAACCATACAAAGAAGGACAAAGTACAAGGTACAAGGAGTAAAAGAAGGAAACAAAACTACTCGGCATCAATGGCAGGATATAGAAGACAGTTGGGAAGACTTCTCAGAAGCCTTCTCGGCCTCAAGCTCAGCATCGATCTCCCGAAGAGTTTGATCAAAGCTCTTTTCGGCGATTGGCACCTTGGAGTTTGAAGGCATGGATTGAAAGCAAGAATCTGGAAAAAGACACAGAAAACAGAAACAATTCGTAATCAAGAATGGTGATAAAGCTATCAGGAAATCAAGACAAAAAGATTGCACAGGTGTGTCAAGCCAAGAACAGTGGCAGAAATCAACAGATGTGTGAACAGTATGTATTCAAGAAGATGATTTGGAAACAACGGATAAAACAACAATGGTGATTAACAATGAAGCAGAGCTTTTTGGAAAGCAACAAAAAATAAAACCAGGAGGAACAATGGCTTACCAGAAAGAGGGACGCCGGAATGAGAATTGCCGAAGTCTGACGATGGATGCAAAAATGACAGAATGATGTAAGCTTCAACAGAGGAGAGGAACAAAAACAGTTGCAGAGCTTGAAAGCTTAGAACAATGACGGATTTAAGCAAAAAAGCTAGAAAGAAAAAAAGGCTGAGGATTGAATGAAAAAAGAAAAAAATTAGAGTCAAGAAGACGACAAAGTTCAAGAATAAAGCCAAGCGTACAGTCACTGAGTAAGTATGTGAAAAACAAGAAAGTAATGACCCAGACACGATGCTAGCAACAAAAAGCAGATATGGCAAGGACAGTTCCAGGCGTTCAAACAATTCAAAACTTGAAAACAGACGAAAATAGAAGAAAACAGAGGGCAAATAAACGGATTGAGAAGAGTTATGAAAGATTGAGCTTAATAAAAGAGTTTATGAACCTACTAAGAGAAATAAACGCCGATATGAAGATTGCCGGAGTCAAATAGATGACTGGAAGTCGGGAACCCACCGAAGAATGTGAGTAGAGCAGTTGCAAAACTCTTGGAGTTTACGAATTAATGGAACAAGAAGCTCGGCTAGGAGGTGTGATCTCGAGCAGTTTGGAAAGCATGAAGCTTGATACTTGACAGAAGTGCACAGTAAAGTCCAGGGAACTTTGAGGTCGACGAGTTTGATTTCGGACAGGGGGGCACAGATGAACGAACAGTGTAGGTTTCATCAACTCAGAATACCGAGGTAATAGAACCCAGGGGGCAGTTGTGGGGATATATTTTCTGAGTACTAACACGTGGCCAAGGTGACGCCAACGTGTCAGCCGAGGTGCCACGTGTCCTAATTGTTATGCCAAGGTCATCTCGGATAGGCCGAGGTTATCTCCGAAGATATCGGAATCCGAGATAAGTAGATGAGGGGCAAGAGTCCTAGAATGAGAGGAGACTTCAGTTTGTATTAAGATAAGACTCTTAGAGAGTTTATCCTAATATTACTGGGAGTCCAAGATTAGCAGTAATCCTGAATCCATAAAAGTTAGGTTTCTATTGGGACTAGGTTTATGTTGGCTATAAAAGAGAGACACCCCCATGGGTCTAAGGGATGCTTTTGATACTCAAGCTTGTGAGTTTAGCACTTGATTTATCTTTGAGAGATATACTGACTTGATTGTCGGAGTGCTCCCGGGTGGACGAACCACCGCCGGAATCTTCTCTTTCTGTTGCAGGTCAGCCATGTGCCATCTATTCTGCCGGTGCTCTCCAGTTGATTACTAAGCGGGCAGTGTGGTCAGAAAATCACTCACA